CTCTACTGATTTCTGGAGCTTTAATTCCCGGGGGGAGATAATGATAAAAATTCCTATTTCTCGACACAAAGGGAAAGAGAGCTCCCCGGTCTCTGTGCTACCGAGGAAATGGTGTTGCCTAAATTAATATAAAGTTCAAAAATTCAGCAGGACATTGGCCTGTCAGGGCTGCCTGAATCGGAGAGCCCAGCAGATTTCTGCTCTTCGCTTCCCTTGCGGCCCCCGACTCGGGGGCGCTGGGGCTGGGCTCAGCCAAGCCACCTCCAAAGACCCCCAAAGTGCAGCTCAACTACCCTCAGGCTTTATTTTTGCTGCTTTCCAGAGCAATCAAGAGCTTGGCCTTTTGCACACACCAAATGTGAAATCAGAAGCCCTCACACAGTTTGAATACATAGTCATTTATTAAAGTAATAAAAAGTGGAGGGGATAAAAGACAAACACATTTAAACCGAACAATTTCTGAAAGTTTAATATAGCTTTAGATAAAACTGAGCTTGCAGTATTAATGAATTTGTTATTTTGTATAATTCAAATAAACTTACACATTTATACAGTTATAGACTGCATGCCATAAAATGCATTTAGTTTATTCTAATTTGAATATGTACAATTTACAATATAATTCAAACATAAATTCAGCAGTAGAGAACACAGACCAGCTGTGCAATCAGTTACTTTTTCTTAGCGTAAGTGTTAGGGCTGGGCTAAAATGTTCATTAGGGGAGGAAAAAAAAAAAAAAAAAAAAAAAAAAAAAGTGGCCACATCAATAAAAATGAAATATTAACTAGAAGTAACTTCCTAAAATAAATAACAAAAGTTATCATCCATCTTGGTACTTTCACTCTTGTTAACGGAAGATGCATACATTGTCACCTCAACACACGAAAGGCGTTGCGGTACAAGCCACAAGCCTCAGAAATCTTGCATCCAGCAAGGACAGGTGCATTTTTTGATTTAAAAAAAAAAAAAAAAAAAATCAAACTTTTCAGTTAATCATAACTTAATATTTTCTATGGCATGAATTTAATAAAAGCAAGGCAACTTCTCCAGTGTTTCACATCCTTGCAGGTATTTTTATCCAGACTAAGCTGCAGCCAGTATGTTTTACAGCTGCAGCACTTCCTCCTGTCCCCTACTTTAAGTTCAATTTGTAGAACCCATCCACACTGCTCCTACTTATTTCAATCCCGTACACAGATTCCTCCCAAAGTTTCCCCAAGGAAAACGCCGCCTGGCTCTCCCGAAGGCAGGACTTGGCACCCACCCTGCCCGGGCACGGGAAGCCGGGCACCTTCCCCATGGTTTTTGGGGGGAGGGAGGATGCTGGCGGCCCCGGGGCACGGCTGGTGGAACACCGCTGTGACACGCGTCACATTCACTTCTCCGTAAAGTCGAGCGGACCATGAGCCATCCCCCAAGCCGATGGCAGAACTCGGCAAAGATGGGGAACCCCCCAGGGGACCCCACCTTGCACCGGCGCTTCCACACCAGAGCCACAAAACCGGGGGCTGTGCGGGGGGGATGGAATGGAACAGAAAATTAGAGGAGAGAGGAGAGAGAAAAGAAAGAGGAGAGGGAAAAGAAAGAGGAGAGGGAAAAAAAAGAGGAGAGGGAAGAGGAAGGGAAGAGGAAAAGAGGGAAAGAAGAGGAAGAGGAAAAGAAGAGGAAGAGGAAAAGAAGAGGAAAAGAAGAGGAAAAGAAGAGGGAGGAGAGGAGAGAGAAAAGAAAGAGGAGAGGGAAAAGAAAGAGGAGAGGGAAGAGGAAGGGACGAGGAAAAGAGGAAAAGAAGAGGAAGAGGAAAAGAAGAGGAAAAGAAGAGGAAAAGAAGAGGAAAAGAAGAGGAAAAGAAGAGGAAAAGAAGAGGAAAAGAAGAGGGAGGAGAGGAGAGAGAAAAGAAAGAGGAGAGGGAAAAGAAAGAGGAGAGGGAAAAGAAAGAGGAGAGGGAAGAGGAAGGGAAGAGGAAAAGAGGAAAAGAAGAGGAAGAGGAAAAGAAGAGGAAGAGAAGAGAGGAAGAGGAAAAGAAGAGGAAGAGGAAAAGAAGAGGAAAAGAAGAGGAAAAGAAGAGGAAAAGAAGAGGGAGGAGAGGAGAGAGAAAAGAAAGAGGAGAGGGAAAAGAAAGAGGAGAGGGAAAAGAAAGAGGAGAGGGAAAAGAAAGAGGAGAGGGAAGAGGAAGGGAAGAGGAAGGGAAGAGGACAAGAAGAGGGAGGAGAGGAGAGAGAAAAGAAAGAGGAGAGGGAAAAGAAAGAGGAGAGAGAAAAGAAAGAGGAGAGGGAAAAGAAAGAGGAGAGGGAAGAGGAAGGGATGAGGAAAAGAGGAAAAGAAGAGGAAGAGGAAAAGAAGAGGAAAAGAAGAGGAAAAGAAGAGGAAAAGAAGAGGAAAAGAAGAGGAAAAGAAGAGGGAGGAGAGGAGAGAGAAAAGAAAGAGGAGAGGGAAAAGAAAGAGGAGAGGGAAAAGAAAGAGGAGAGGGAAGAGGAAGGGAAGAGGAAAAGAGGAAAAGAAGAGGAAGAGGAAAAGAAGAGGAAGAGAAGAGAGGAAGAGGAAAAGAAGAGGAAGAGGAAAAGAAGAGGAAAAGAAGAGGAAAAGAAGAGGAAAAGAAGAGGGAGGAGAGGAGAGAGAAAAGAAAGAGGAGAGGGAAAAGAAAGAGGAGAGGGAAAAGAAAGAGGAGAGGGAAAAGAAAGAGGAGAGGGAAGAGGGAGGGAAGAGGAAGGGAAGAGGACAAGAAGAGGGAGGAGAGGAGAGGGAGGAGAGGGAAAGAGAAGAGGAAGAGGAATCGTATTGTTTAGGTTGGAAAACACCTTTAAGATCATCAAGTCCGACCGTTAACCCAACACTGCCAAGCCCACTACTGACCCACGTCCCCAAATTTCACATCTACTCGTCTTTTAAATACCTGCAGGGATGGTGACCCCACCACTTCCCTGGGCAGCCTGTTCCAACACTTCACCACCCTTTCAGTGAAGAAATTTCTCCTAATCTCCAACCTAAACCTGCCCTGGCGCAACTCGAAGTCATTTTCTCTTGTCCTATCGCTTGATACTTAGGAGAAGGATAGGATAGGATAGGGTAGGGTAGGGTAGGGTAGGGTAGGGTAGGGTAGGGTAGGGTAGGGTAGGGTAGGATAGGATAGGATAGGATAGGATAGGATAGGATAGGATAGGATAGGATAGGATAGGATAGGATAGGATAGGATAGGATAGGATAGGATAGGATAGGATAGGATAGGATAGGATAGGACAGAACAATTTTCAGTTGGAAGGGACCTACAAAAGGATCCTCTAGTCCAACTGCATTGTTACAGAAGGGCAGCAGGTTGGCCGGGTCACGCTCTGGCAGCATCCCGGGAAGGAGGCAGTGGTCCCCCATCCGCCCCAAACAAACCAAAGGAGTTTTTGAGGAGGGGTCAAACGGCTGGCGACTCTTCTTTCAAACCCAGACCGACCTGCTCGAGCCTGCTGGCAGGACTCATCACTCGGCTGGGCCACTGGCTGAGGGTTTACCGTGCCAATGAATGTTCTCAGCCCTCTGGTTTGGACTTGGTGGTGTTTTTACTGTTGACACCCGGCAATTGTACACGGCCGGTTTTGCTGTCAGTCAAGGACTGGTAGAAGAGTTACGGGTGGTACAAAAATCAGCGGTATTTTACAAGGCAACCTGAGGAAGTGCTAGCAAACGGGCGAAAAGAAGTCCAGATTTCACCTTGTCACATCGGGAATCTGCCCACCACCCGTGTAGAGCACGGGATCAGCATGCAGGGAGCAACTCACGCCCTTCCCTTCAACAGTAACGTGCAGGGAGTTGAAGTATAGCCAAAGGTGTAAAAAGCACACAGTGCTACTCAAAACCCATGATAAATGATGAAAAGAAACTTTGGAAGTCTGCATAAAGTCCTTGGGTGTACACCTGATGGGTCACACACTGCAACCTCCAGGGAAAGCGCCGAGCCACAGCAGGGTCTGAGCCAACCCTCCAGCGGCGCTGAGCTTCAGGAGTTCTTCTTCCATGCCAACATTTACAACAAAACCAATTTTTCTTCCTCCAAGGCCACCAGATCCGTAGTTGTTCGTTACGCAGCAAGCGTCAGCGTTTGTGCAGGATGGTGCAGAGGTCAGCATTCGTGCAGGATGGTGCAGAGGTCAGCATTCGTGCAGGATGGTGCAGAGGTCAGCATTCGTGCAGGATGGTGCAGAGGTCAGCATTCGTGCAGGATGGTGCAGAGCCCGTCCCTGACTGCAGCTCCGCGTGCACCTCCTGACCCACGCGCGGCCGTGGTCCCGAGGGTTTTGCCGTTCGGGCGATGTCACGCTGGGCCCCCGCTCGCCGACGGTGCTGCCCATCGCTCCACCTTGCCCAAACCTCTTCCTCCTCCTCTTCCTCCTCCTCCCCCCCCCCCCCCCGGGGAAGCCACTGCGACCTGGTTCCCCCCCAACACAGACCCCCCCCCCCCTGCAACAGCCGACCACCTCCAGCATTTCGGGGAGGGTCCGGGTGCTCCGGCACCGCAAGCCACGATGACGGGGCCACCCGCCCGACACCCAGAGATGGAAAAGGAAACCCAAACACAAGCACAGAAGGGGAGCGGAGCAAAACATTTACACAGAGTATTACTCATTTTGAAACCCACAGGGTCAACGCCAGTTAAGAACGTGTTTAAACATTATTTTCACCCTAGAGAAAGCAGTAAGGAGCGATGCCACCGGCAGCTGTGCCGCGAGGCCGGCTGCCAGACCGCGGCTCACACACCCATCGCCTGCATCGCGGCCGGCCCAACCGGGCCACCAAAGCAAGAGGGAGCGAAATCCGGGGGGATGGTGGCTCTGCCTTTGGGGTGCAGCGCGTCCAGAACAAATACCTGCTCGGCTTCGTGGAGACATTCAGCTCTTTTCATGCCTAGCTACTCTAGCAACATGAGAAATCAAGCGCGTCCTGCTTACTCAAAACGGTTTTCTTGCACATCCATTACAAACCATGAAGATTTAAAAAAATTTTTACTAATCGTATCTAAAGTGTGAATTTTATTCATTTATTTATTGTTCTGCCTAGGCTTATTAATACAAGTTCCTTCTCTAAACAATGCCTTATGAAACACATTTTAGTTTTTTTCCAGTAGCCTAGACGCAGGAAAAGAAACCCCAAGAAAACGTTAAAGCAAAATAGAAACCAGCAGTTAATTTAAGGCTAGCAGATTTGGTGTTAGGAATTAACTAATACACCTTCTTTTAAGAAAAAAAGACATGCACCATAACTACTTTGTCGAACAAAACATCACGATCCACATCAGGAAAAAAAAAAATAAATATTTTCAAATCGAATTATAACTTACCCTGAAAGTTACCCACTCGCATGTTTTACCTACTCCGTACTCTTAAGAAATACAGGGGAAAGGAACGCCCCTCTCCATATTTTTCCAGAATATACAGTATAAATATAGTAGGAGTCATGCCGTAAAACTATATGCAAAAATTGCACACTATTATTGCATGCGCGTTGTGATACTACATGCCAACGGACACCAGCTCGCCGATCGTCCCGTCGTTCGTACTTACAGCGCAGCCGCCGCTCCCGGGGGGGGGGGATGCTCCTGCCCCCCCCCCCCCCCCCCCCCGGGGACCACGGAGCTCAGCACACACACAGGGGCTGGTGGAGGGCCCGCTCTCCTGCCCACGCCGCCCTCGCCAGCAGCAGTTCAAGCTCTCAGCGACAGCCAGGAGTCCCGGCGGGTTATGTAAACCGGTCGGAATTCATTTTTCGCAGTTTGGGGGGGAGGTGGCCTTCCATCCTGCCGCCGCCCGACAGCTTCTGCAGCTTGGGCGGCAGGTCGGCCACCGACTGGCTGATGGGATCCGACGTCATCTTTGTGGTTTTAGACACCAGTTTCTCCTCCGAATTCCCCGGGACCGAGCTGATCCGCTGGAGTTTCATGGGCAAATCCCCCATGCTGTAGGCCTTCTCGGAGGTGGTGGAACTCATCCTGAGCAGTTTTTTGGGGAAGTCTTCCCTCCCAGTTATTTTCTGCAGTTTTGAAGGTAGTTTCGTGCCAACTTCATCGAGACCATCCAGGCACTCCACCGAGTTATTCCTTTCCTTGCTGTTGCTCACAGCCGGCGCTATCAAGGGCGAAGACATGAGCAGCATCTCCTCCTGCTCCTTCACGCTGTACGGCGGGGTGGGCACCTCAAACGTCGCGTGGAACTGGGAGTAATCGACTTTAAAGAACCCCTCTTCCAGGGAGATGACAGGGAAGAAACGGTGACCCCAGAGCACCTCGTCCTCTGTATAGGATGTCCTGGCTTGGCACGTCATCCCTGCAACGAGCAAGGGAGAAAAACTTGCACCAGTTACGGACAGTTGTGGATGCACACGAATCCCGGGGTTTTCTGAACATTTCAGTGAAACATACTGTATGGTTTTAAATGTATAAAGGAAAAAGGCATTGGCGTGCCTACTGCTTCCACACAGTCGCTATTAAACTGTCATCCTCGGGGTGAAAGGAGCCAACAACAGAGGACGGAGTGTAACTGAATAATTCACCTCTATTCTTATGGACACTTTTGCAGGTGCTGCTGACAAAGGGAAACACAGGGCCAACTGCTAAACCCCGGTATTAAATTAGCAAGAGCTGCTAATTGTAAAGTTGGACTTGTCAGGATCTTAAAAGTATTACTAAGCTGTTCCATGTCTTCATCATATTGCCGAACGCGGGCGAAACCAGGCCCGACGCTTTAGGAATCGGGCGCACGAACCAAGCCCGTGGGGGCACGTTCCAACCCGCAGCGGGTCCGTCCTATCAAACACATTTATCCCTCTTTAAGGGCTTCACCGGCGATCTGCTCACAGATCCAGCGCTGCCAGGCTGAGACCCGAGCTTCAAAAAACTAGCAGGGAAGGAGAAACATGTCTAAGGGGCACAGCACTGCCCTTCCTCCTCCACTGCCTCCCACCACGGAGAAAAGTCCTCCTCCCCCTGAGCACCCAGGTGTGGGTCGCCATCCCAGTGACCCACCTGACCTCGGAAATCGGAAGGAAACGATGACCGCAGATTGATGGAGGCTTCTAGAAGAAATCCTACTGCTGCTATTTTTTTTTTTTTTTTTTTCACACGGTATCTGTAGCAATCCGTAAATAGAATTACCCTACCATTCTATCCTAGTATAGCAAACTGGAAATACGACATTTGGTTTTCGGGAAGCTAAATCTACCTCTGCAAACACATCCTCTGCTTAGCTGGCAAGAATGCCTTTCAGTCAGGAGCAAATTAAAGGAAACTTTGGAAGGCACAAGAAAAATGACAGCGGGGCTGTAGTGAGGGGGAGCGGGGGATGGATATGAGCCTGGTGACATACAGCCAGAAAACCACAATTTTATTGCTCTTTATGTGACTGCTAATAGAATACAAGTTTTAGCTTTGCATAGCGATTTCTGCAGCTAATACGTCTGAGTACACCACAAGACATAAAACTCAGTCTTCTGATTTGTCTCTTAGGAGAAAAACACGAATCCAAGGGGTTTTTTTTTTGCACTGAAGGGGCCTCACCTGAGCTCACCCACCTGCAGGAGCGTACCCAGAGACCAAGCAATCCTACCCGATTCCCACCACCTCAGACAGGACAGTATTTTATTTATACGTTATGCTTTATTTGCCCTCACGTGTTTCAGTTCTGCTTACTCGGTGAAGTGGAAGCAATCACGTACCTAGATTTAGGAAAAAAACCCTGCAATTTTTAGAAAAATAGCAATTAGAGTGAGCGCTTCTTCCACCTGTGTCCTTCAGCCTGCAGATGTTCGTTAGCCGCACCTTTGCCGCGAAAGCCCGGACCTTTCCCCCCTCGGCTTCTTCCGACCTGGCTTCCGAGGGAGCCCTCATTAGCAAACGAACGCGTCTAATAATGCATGCAAACGGCGGGAGGGAGCCGTCCTGGGGATTGGGTCTACGGGGCCTGTGAAGCAGATGGCTGGTTGACGCCGGTGACCTACGCTTTAGAGAACAAATTGCTTCACGTGCGAATCTCCCCGTGTGGGAAAGAAGTGGGGAACTGCCGACCTCGCCGCGGGCTTCGCCGGGCGGGGGGAGCCGCGCCGCCGGCACGGCCCAAGGGCTCCCCTAACAGCGACGCTGGTTGTGGGGTGGAGATCCCTTGCACGGCTTTTTCTTTGCGTTGGCAACACAAAAAAAAAAAAAAAAAAAAAAAACAAAAAAAAAAAAAAAAACCAAACAACTTCACTGTAAAAGGTGTGCTACTGAAATGCCATGGGGAATGTGACAAGGGGTGTGCAGGGAACGCATGGGTCAGCAATCCTGGCAGGGCTCGGGGAAGGGGACCGGGGCACAGGGCAGGCCAGCACCTGCATCTGCATCCCTGTCTGTAGTTCTGTCTGCATCTGTAGCTTCATCGCCGTTTGCATCTCCATCTGCATCATCATCTCCATCCACATCCCCATCTCCACCTCATCCATATCCCCGTCCCCATCTCCATCCCATCCCCATCTCACCCCCATCCCCATCTCACCCCCATCCCCATCCCCACAGCCGCTGCTGCACGCCCAGGGTGATGCTGGGCTCCAGACCCGCCGGGTGAGGCTCCCCCCCTCCCCGCTGTGCTGCAGGGCTATTTCTGCCTTCCGATCCATCATCCTGCCCTCTCCCAAACTGCTCCTGCCAGGAGGCTTTCAAAGGAGGGATCTGATACCTGCTTCCTATCGAAAAACGTATTAGCTAAGTCTCAGGAAGATCAGCTTCGCATTTTGTTCCGTTGATGTAACCCTCTGTAAGCTCACTGGAGAGATAAATATCTGCAGGTATATAATTTTGCTTTAAAATCAATTTATCTTATTCACTAACAAACCCGAGGGTGCAAATTATTTAATAGCCTCTCCGGATGAACAGCAGCGACTAACAACACTTGTCATTATAGGGAATACCTGTCATGCTAAGCAGACGATGCTAAGAGGTGCCAACGTGCTCTGATAAGCCCTTGGACAAGAAATCAATTCTCAGGTTCTCTTCCAGCTCTGCTCGCTGCCCGGCTCCTTCCTTCCCTTTCCGTTTTCTCAGCAAAGCCTCCGACTCCCGGCTATGAGCTCCGCGGGGCCTTTCTGCCCGTAGAGGCTCCGCGCAGGCAGCGGTGGTCACCAGCTCCTCCGGGTTATCAGAGCAATAACCACGTCGCCGCCTAAGGCAAGGTTCTTGATAACTGCCTCGGGATTACCTTCCACCGATCTACGGCCCGGGTGACTACGGGCCGTTTATTGCAACGCAGGTGCAGTCTCTTGCTATTTAAAAAACAAAAGGCGCAGAGCAGCCGGAGCCCGGCAGCCGCGGGGTCGGGGTGCTGGTGGTCACCCGCCCTTTCACATTTTCTACTCCTCCTGTTGCTACGAAAGGCTTTTGGGGTTTTTGTGCCTTTTTTTTTCCCCCCCTAAGAAGTTATTCATCAGCAGGGTACGCAGCCAGCAGATCCCTCGATGCCTTCATCACGTTAATGGGCTTGTTAAAATTTTACCGAGTTGCCTGTATTATTAATATTCATTTGCAGTATAAATTTTAAACTCTCGTTTGGAAGCAAACACGCTGTGTGCAGTGCCTGTAATTAAAAAGCCATCCATTTGTCCAAGTGAAAGGTTTCGGTGCGTTTTGTTCACCACTCCTCACACACGCTCCCATCACGAAGTGCTCTCCGGGGCTGTTAACGGCCGGCGACCGCGATGCGCATTAGCAGAGCTCTGCCTGCAGACAAATCGCAGCAACGCGCCTGGAAAACGGGGCACGCTTATGCACATGTTCCAGCAGAAAACCCAAACCCAGTGGCCAGTAAGACCCCTCCCTATTTTGTCAAAAACAGAGGCTGCAGAAACACTGCTCACTATGTCCGAGGGCAGAAATTTTCATCCCAAAACACGGCTCCTAAGGGGGCAAGCAACGCTGTTTTGTCTGAATACCCCGCACTCTCAGAACCCTCACCCTTGCGTATTTGAGATCACCCCTACCCAAATCATCCCTCGCTCTCTCCAGGAATTACATTCTTTCTGCAGAAACCAGGAGCCGACTCTGTTTTCAAAGTATTACGAATAATGAGCTTAGAGGAAGGCAAGGGCAAAGTTTTGGGACTCATCTCCTCAAGGGCAGAGGCTGAAATGGTGTTAGAGAGAGCTTTAGTATTAGACATTGTTAGAAATTCTGCTACTGATTAAATTCAGTCATTTACACCCACCCGTAGTGGTCTGGCATCCCTCTGTAGAGTCTGGCACATAATGCCACAGATCATAACACAGCAAAATCCCAGCCCTGAACACTTAGGAAAATTTTCCGTTAACTTCCTCAGATAATGTACAGCACAGCAGCTCTGGAGGATGAGCACAGGTTAAACCGATGTATTTCTCTCCTCAGGTTTGATATGGAAGGATCTTTTATTTTTTTTTTTTTTTAATAACCACGCCTTTTCCTTTCAGCATTCACTCTGTCTGAAGCCAACACTATCGCTGAGAAAAACACATCTCTCTGTCACATCCTAAGTTATTAATTACAAGTTGTTATTTCTAGTGAGGTAGAACTCTTGGTTTTAGAACCTTAGCCGAGCCGAGAAAGCGGATGCAATTATCTCACCCTCAGCCCAGCAGCTACTCTTCCAGTTTTTATTTTTCTCTGCCTCTGGCTGCACCAGGTTCAGACTCGATGCCCCATTTCCAGGACACACCAACAAGAAACAGGATTGTGCAAACCCTTTGCCACAGCTGACGGGGACCAGAGCTCCCACTACGTGCACTCAAAACCCACCTCACATAGAGGAGGTCTGGTGCTGCTGGGGTGACACTGGGGTCATGTCCTGGGTTGAGTGAGCGGTGGAGTTTTTTGGTGGCAGGGGAGGGGGCTATCGGGGCGGCCCCCTGTGAGAAGCTTCTCGAAGCTCCCCCAGCTCCATGTCAGCTCCACTTCTGTTTGGGAAATTGAGCCCATCGGCTGCGCCTCTGCGATAACGTATTTAAGAAGGGACGTGGTGACGGGCAGTGGGACTTGTGAGGAGGAGTTGCTGCAGCTGCGTGAACACCAAGGTCCGTGGGGGAACGGAGGAAAAAAGGAGAGGGGAGGTGTGCCGGAGCAGAGACCCCCCTGTATCCTGTGGGGAGATGGCAGGGTGGCCCCCCCCTGCCACCCATGGAGATCTACGGTGGAGCAAACATTGATTTGTGGCCTATGGCTCCTGCTCAGCTGATCAAGATGCTGTGCCTGAAGAAGGCCGGGGTCTCATGGGAAAAGGCAGCCCCGCTGCTGTAATTCAGCGCTGGGAGGATTGCAGCATGTGGGGGAGTC